CCAGGTGGTGAGAATCTCCGAGTGTCCGGGAGGCGCTGACCATGGTCCTGACCTCCAAGCTTAGGACGTGAGTGAAAAGGCCACGAGAGGTGCGACCACGAGTGGCCGTCGGAGCCCTTGCCCCTCCCTGACCCCCGGGAGTCCGTGGCCTTCACGCAAACCCTTCACTGAGCGCTCCGAGCTGCATCAAAAAAAAGGGTGGGGCACCCAACCACAGCTGCAATCGGAAGCCGCCCGGGAGGATTTAAGAAGAATGGAGCCGAGTCCACCCTGACCGCCATGCGATGCCTGCAGCCAGGGATCGCTTGTCCTTTACGCCCACCCCCACCTCCCAGGCCCAGGGAGGCGCGAGAAGCCTTTGTGGGCGCAGCCGCTCACCGCCGAGCCCGAGCCTCGCCGCACCCTGCGCGGGACGGGCGGGCAGGGTGGGTGCGCTGCAGATGCGGAGGCAGCGTTCAAGGCGGGGCGTGCAGGCGGGCACGCTGGGATGCTCGTCCTCCACCCAGGTGCAAGGGGCGAAGGGGGCGATGCCCGCTCCCCGTCCTCGGTCTCTGCCCCCCACCCCCATACCAACCTGGTCGTAGATGTTCTGCAGGGCTTCCTTGCCCGAGGCCCGCCGGATCTCCACCTTCCGGCTGGATTCAACAGATGGCTCGCCTCCACCTGCACGCCGGCCCTGCCGGAGTACGGCGTCTGCGGTCCGGCCCAAGTGCGACGTCCCGCTGCTGAGCCACCACCTGCCCCGAGCCCGCCCACGGACAGCGAGTCGAAATCGATGGTCTTGTTCTCCGAGACCCTTCCACCGGCAGAAACATGCCACAGAATTTTTGCCGGGCTTGGGGCTACCCGAGCCCAGTTTTTAAAAAAGGCAGGGACCTCTTCGTCCTCTGCCGCCTTTCCGGATTGCTTCCTCTCGGCCATGGCGCAGGGGCTCGGGGAGGGTCGTCTCCGTCCGTCAGTCCGTCCGTCTCGGGTCCCTAAGTGTCCCTGTCTGTGTGCACCAACCCCTAGCTGCAGCCGCGCCTGCCGCTCTCTGCCTAGCGCAAGGTGTACAGAAAGGAAGGAGGCTGCGAGCGGGCGACCCACCCCTCGCGGTCCCTCCCCCTGACCCCGCTCTCCCCTCCCTGCCCACGCCCCCCGCCGCCCCGCGCGAGCTCAGGCGAGCGGCAAAGTTGGGTTTGGCGGGCGGCCGCTGCGGCAGCGGGACTGAGAGGCTGCCAGTTCCCGGCAGCGCGGGGAGGCGCGCGCGGCGGGCGGGGCGGGCGCGGAGGAGGAGGGAGGAGCAGAGAAGAGGGGAGGGGAGGGAGCCCCAAGCCCGCGCTCCGGAAGTGAAGCGGCCAGATCGCCGGCTAATGATGCGCACCCGCCGGTCCGCTGACCGCTCTCGGTGCCAGGGTGAGTCTGGGGCAGGTACGCGGGGCGAGACCCGAGGCGCAGCCCCTGGCCCCGCGCTCCTCTCCCGCACCTGCCCGACTCTGGCGCCTCTCTCCCGCCGCATTGCAGAGGTGGGCCGGGGCGAGGGCGCACCGTGGAGGGGTCCGGACCTAGCTGATGCTTGGGGAATGGGGTCCAAGTTGGCAGGCCCCGCGATACTCGGAGGGAGGAGAGAGGAGGCGCTGGGATGGCGCGGGGTGGCAGGCAGCTGGCCCCTCGGTCACCAACGCCGATCGCCGGACACCAACGCCGGCTACAAGGGCAGAGAGGAAACAAGGCTCTCGCTTGGTGCAGCCACTGTGTTTGGGGATGGGGCGCAAATATGGCGGGGAGAAACGGAGAGAGACAGGACGTAGCTAGTGGGAGGTGGGATAGAGGGAGATGTAGGCCTACAGTCTGTGGGAGTGTAGCAGAGTACAGTCGGCAGATGCCAGCCCGAGCGATAACTTAAAGGGTGCGGACTCTCTATATTGTTCGAGGACTTCATGGACCATCGGTGCCACAAGAAGGCCCAGCAGCGTCGTTATTTCGTATCCTTCCACCACCAACACAGAGAGAGAGAGAGAGAATGAGAGAGAGAATATGAACGATGGGGGAATACGCGATCGAAGCCCTCTCTCTAAATCTCCAGCCTTTCCCCACTTCGAGGTGCCCCGCCTAGTCCCCCGCCCCTGTTGCGCACTGCGTCAGAGCTGCTGGGTTTCCCGGACGCCAGATGCAGATGCTTTACTGGGGCGTTAAGTAGCAGGCGAAGACAGGTAGGAGGTGGGTCTCGGTTGGGAGAGAGTGCCGTGAATTCTGAGACCAAGCAGAAGAAAGCTTTATGGGGACTTGTGTATGTACAGAACGTCCTGCCACGACCGCCGGGTTGGTGGCGATATAGGCGGGCATTTTGATTTGTGTAGGTAAAATGATCTTTGAGGACCCTTGCATGCTTACTCCCATCTCCGAGTCCTTTCCAGTATCAGCCCCTGTCTCTGGTCAATTTCAGGTCCGTCTGTCTTTCCACAGCAGCAGAAACCTGCAGAACTGCCTTTTTTTTTTTTGCTCCGGAGGGAGGTCTGGACATGCGCAGTAGCCAGGGCGGGTGTGGCCCCGAGGCCGTTTACCGCAGAGCAGTCGCACCAGGCAGTGTGACCAAGAATTCACACCCATTGTCATGAAGGATTAAGTGCGAATATCAACCCCATCCCAACTGTTGATGAATGGAGTTAAATTTGGGAGGCATCCAGTCACAGTTTGAGGGTGAGCTGGAGAGGAGCAGACATGCGCTGGAGAATGCACCCTAGCCGGGAAGAGAACCCAAGACGCGCTTTGGGCTTAGGCCAGACTTTTTGAACAGACCTCTGAATAAAGCGCTTCCATGAATTACATCATTTCTTAGACACAGCGGCCCTGTGCGAGGAGAGCTTTATCCTCACCGCTTCCCAGGGCAGGAAACTCAGGTTTAGACAGATGGGGCGCGGTGCCGGGTCCCACATCTAGTTAAAATACCCAACCTTTGCGGGGGCGTGGGGGCATCTTTTACCTCCCGCCATCATCCTCCCGCCCTCATTATGGGAGAAAATACACAGTTCTTACGTTTTCCCCATAACCAGTTGTTTCCATCCTGGCCCAGCTGTTATTAAGGGGCTTCCCACCTGTGGTCTTTTTATTAAAGAGCATGTGCAAGCCCTGTGGCCTTTGGCAAAGGAGCCCTGGAAAGCTAGCCTGACTTCAGCAGGACAGTTTTCTGTGGACTGGGGCGTTTCTTCCTTGATATTCAACGCCCTTACATCCCCAGTTCTCTAGGTATTCCAGTGGGGGGTTAAAAGGTAAACTCAGGCCTGTAGAGGTCAGCAGTCCCACCCAGCTCCCAAGGGCTGCCAAGCACAGGGATGGGCAGCATTTACCCTCCTGGCTTTCACAAGGTGGTGTGGCCTTCAGTACCTCCCTAAAAGACTTTGGATCTGTACCCACAGCAGGAGCAGCTGCTGCCATGGCCACAGACTGGTACCTGTGATGTGAACTCGTTCAGACTGATGGAGATTTCCAGGCCCGGAGAAATGGTGGTACCCTTCTAAGCACACTCCACAGAGGTCACGGGAGGTGGGGTTACACACTGAGCAACCACATTTTGGTCAAGGCACTTATCACACTGATGCCATAAGATTACGTGGCTTAGTGATGTCATAGCCCTCCTAGTTCGTGTAAATACACTCTGTGATTCCCCACAATGACAGAGTCACCTAAGGCAGTTCTCCACTGCTGAGCTACTGTACTATAACAAGGACTCTTCCATTTTGCCTTCTCCAGTGTCCCCAGGTTCTTCAGGACAGACCTCCTCCATAACATGTTTCCTGCCTTTTGTCTTTTTCTCAAATGACCCTTCAAGTTCAAATGCCAGAAAGAAACTTGTATTAATAACTTACTGTTCTTAGCCAGCCAAAGGAACACCCCATTGTTCATTTGTAAAGCCCCACTAGACATAACAAAAGGGAATTAATTCATGATTCCAAGTTTAATTTATTTGGTACAGAGGTTTTTTTTTTTTTTAATTGTTGTGCCTATATTAAATTATGTTTAAATGTTTGAATGATTCTCAGTTGATTTTTTTTTTTTTTTTGCCTTGGCCTCCCAAGCGTTGGGATTATACACTCTGCTCAATTGGATCTTTTTAAATCAAAGAAGTGGAGTGACTCCATATTGTTTAGGAGATGTAATTAAATTGTGAAACTGTCACATTTTTGAATAAGTGCATTAAACTTTGACACTGGATCATAAATAGGCATAAAGCCATATTATTCTTTATGTACGAGGGGGTTCTTGGTGTGTCTGGCATTAACAAGCACACACACCATCCTGTGAAGGAAGGTGACATCTTCTTGTGATGGAAGCTGAACAGATGCTCCTTGACTCTCACCAAACATTCTGGAATGAATAAACAAGTATTTAGCCACATTTCCTGATTTCTTTCACTTGGCAAAGAGCTTGAATCCTGCCCAAAAGAGGGACTTTCAGACATCAGTCAACATGTCCGATGAGCACATGGCTGGGAGACTAGATTGCAGTAGGTCCCCAGGAGAAGAAAAGTTGCAGTAAGCAAAGACGGGGCCTGCCAGAGTGGGGCAGACACAGGTACGATGTGAGGCAGAGTCCCTGTCTGCTGTCCTCTGCTCCTTGGACAATCCCTTGGAAGGAGAGGACTTGTGCTAAACATGAGCTTTGTTTCCACAGGCACCCGTGCCACCGTGCTGTGTGACTTCCCTCCAGGACACCTAAGGTGTCAGACCAGGAGACAGGGAGGAAGCAGCCGTTCCAGCTGCCTCCGTGGTGAGAGAAGAGCCAGTGTCCCCAGCAGGAGCCTCACGTGGTGAAACAGCAGCTACAGCCAGCAACAAGTGGACTGCAGAGCACTGACAGAGGCGCTATTGGGACTGAGGCGTGCCCCGTCCCCACGTTGGGGAAGGTCTGAAGACAAAAGTAGTGCTGAGTTTTTGCCACTGGGCAGGGACAGGTTACTGGTCCAGAGGACTGAGCCGTTCGTTAGTGGAGTGACCCAGGCAGGGACCCGTTCTCTGTTGGGTTGTAAGTGTAGAAGTTCAGTCCTCAGGCAGTGCCCATCTGCCCCATTGGTACCTAGAGTGCCAGTGAGTCCAGATTTGGGACCATGGCAGTGGCACTGTTGGAGGACTGGTGCAGGATCATGAGTGTGGACGATCAGAAGTCACTGATGGTGATGGGGATACCAGTGGACTGTGACGAGGCAGAGATCCAGGCAGTGCTGCAGGAGGCCTTGAAGTCTCTGGGCAGGTACAGACTGCTGGGCAAGATATTCCGGAAGCAGGAAAATGCCAATGCTGTCTTGGTAGAGCTTATGGAGGACACTGATGTCTCGGTGGTCCCCAGTGAGGTGCAGGGAAAGGGGGCACCTGGAAAGTGATCTTTAAGACCCCTAACCAGGACTCTGAGTTTCTCCAACGACTGAACCTCTTTCTAGAAAAAGAGGGCAGACAGTTTCGGGTATGTTCCGAGTCCTTGGGCAGGAGGAATGTCTCCGGCCACAGTGCCCTCTGTGTCACCCGAGCTACTGGCCCATTTGGTAGGACAGGCCATGGCCCATGCCCCTCAGCCTCTGCTACCCATGAGGTACAGGAAGCTGCGCGTGTTCTCAGGGAGCGCTGTGCCCGCACCCGAGGAGGAGCCCTTTGAGGTCTGGCTGGAACAGGCCACTGAGATAGTGAAGGAGTGGCCTGTGGCAGAGGCGGTGAAGAAGCGGTGGCTGGTGGAGAGCCTGCGGGGCCCTGCCCTGGATCTCATGTCCATAGTGCAGGCCGACTCCCCGTCCATCAGCGCGGAGGGGTGTCTGGAGGCCTTTAAGCAGGTGTTCGGGAGTCTGGAGAGCCGCAGGACCTCCCAGGTGAGGTACCTGAAGACCTATCAGGAGGAGGGGGAGAAAGTCTCAGCCTACCTGCTTCGCTTAGAACCGCTGCTCCGCAGAGCCGTGGAGAAGCGGGTCATCCCCAGGACCATTGCCGACCAGGTCCGCCTGGAGCAGGTGATGGCTGGGGCCAGCCTCAGCGGGGGTCTGTGGTGCCGGCTTCGGGAGCTGAAGGATGAGGGTCCGCCCCCCAGCTTCCTGCAGCTGATGAAGGTGATCCGGGAAGAAGAGGAGGAAGAGGACTCCTTTGAAAATGAGAACTCTGAGGAGCCGGAGGAAGGGAGGGGCCATGGCCGCTGGGATAGTGACAGACACAACTGAACACAGTGTCCCTAGCCCCCAGCCCGAGAGCGGTCACTTGACTAAGACCTCGACGATGTATTTTTCTTTAGTGCACAGGACTGAAATCAAGGCCTGAGAGCCAAGTCTTTTGGTGACCTCCTGCTTCAGCCTCCTGAGTGCTGGGCTTAGGTGTGCACCACTACTAAAGCCAAGTTGTGATTTTTCTTTCTAAGAAAAATACCTGAACTGGGCACGATGAGGCATACCTGTAATCACAGCTACTCAGGAGGTGGAAGCAGGAGGATCTTGAGTTTGAGGCCAGCTAGGCAAAGGTGTCAAGGCCCTGTCTAAAAAAATGAAATAAAAACAAAGGTTGACAAGATTAAGGCCCTGGTTTTAACCCCCAGTACTGGGGGAAAAAAAAAAACCTGGAATTTCTTAGACCCTGAGGAGATTGTTAATAAGGAAAAGATTAAATTTCAAATATTAGTGAGCCTTATGAAATTGAAAACACCTGTACTTGTGGTTTCCTTTAATTACCCCAACTAGGGCAGAGCTTACCTCCACCATAGAAGAAAGAATAGATATTAGGAAAAAACTAGCTTTTGTAAGAAGTTTGAAAAGTGGAATGACTTAGCTTGTGTGTTGGAGGGTGGTTCCTATCTCAAATCAGCAAATTCCTCATCATTGTGATACACTGTAGGAGGAACTGTGAGCTGCAACCATCACCTCCAGAAACAGTTACAAAGGCAGGATGGACCATGCCCTAGGGTTGGGGGGGGGCGTCCCAGCAGGAGACACACCAGGACAGGCATAAGCGGAATACCATTGAAGACCTCACATTTATTGAGGGCTGCCATATGCAAGGCGTTTCACACACATCCCACTTAATGTGTGCAGCAACTTTACAGGGTTTTTTATTTTGCTGTTTCTAAAGAGAAAGAAATTAAAGCTCAGATGGGTTACATGGTCTCAACACTGAACCAAAATTGCTAAGAAGTGATAATGGCCTGAATGGAAGCCCAGGATTCTGACTGCTACTAATGCACCCTCCGCCATCTTAGTGGCTTTCAAATGGTGTTCTTGAGGTTCTGCATTCACCAACAGTTTGCTTTAGTCTCCAGACTGACCCAAACTTCCTGTAAATTGTACATAGGCTTGCAAAGCTGTAGCACCTCACAAGTACTTAGATCAGGCCCATGCATGCTCGGTCAGGTGTGTCAGGACAACACAATGGAAGGCAAAGCTCTGAAAGTCGGTCTGTGGTCTCTTGGTAAATTTGTGCATACTCAAACAAGTTGCTTAGTTTCTCTAAACATCAGTTTCCTCATTTGAAAGTGGGTTGATTTTTTAGGATCAAATGGTGAAGCCTTTTAAGCGCTTCAAGTGATGTCTGGAATTTAGAAGACTCTTGATACATTGTGGCTCTTGGGATTTCCCTGATGCTTATTATCATTATTGTCACACCACATATGCTGTTCTTGTTCTTGGAGTCCTGCAGGAACAAGTTAAGATGTAACCTTCCGGTCAGTTGTGACACTTTTCCATTAGAACCATGTCAGCTCTTTCTGAAAACAAATGTGAGTGTTTATTGTCTTTTATGTTTGCGATAAGAACTCCACCAGTTGTTGACAACTGTTAGTGACTTGACTTTGAAACAATGATTTATTCTTTCTGATTAGGGATGAGTTTCCTCATCCACTATATGAGACTATCCTGAGATTGTAAGAAAAGCACTTAAAAAAAAAAAAAAGATGCCGTGTGTGGTGTTCTCTTTCTAACGTGTTTCTCGAGACCATTCCACTGCAGCGATACAACAGTCACCAATCACACAGTTACATGTACTTTTGTATTCTTGGGAATGGCCTCATTGTTGTCATTTACTGACCGCCTACAAAAGTAAAATGTTACCAATGTGAAGTTATAAAATAAATCTATGCTAATGAAATCCTGAGTTTTTTCTTATTGCTGTGTCTCGTGGTCTATATAAGCTATCTTTGAAGAAACTTCACTACTAAATAAAGAAAAAAATTACCAGCGATACTCTTAGAAAATCAAGCTAAGGCCAAAAGGCCTTGAACTCCTCTAAGCAAGAAACCCTGAGAGCAAAGTGCTGGAGTAACAAACAATACTTGGGCCAGGTCCCCAGGAGCCGCAGGGTGCTTTTCCCACCCATCATCGGTTTCCTTTAAATGCACAACAACAAATGGAGCCACCCCTTCTGAGACCCCCACCTCATTTGTTCAGGGAAATAACTGTCCAGATAGATTCCTCAGCCTCTATTCTGCCAAGGGTGAGAGGTCTCCACAAGAATTTTGCATTTCTGGGCTGTAGTCAGCTTTTCCTATAGCAGCGTGTGGGGGGAGATTTCCTTTTGCCTTTGGATATCTCGAAATTGCTTCTCCTCCTGTGTCTGGAACGCAATAGGAAGCATCCCTCACTGGGCCACACCCACTGCTGACCAGTCTCCTAGAGGTCTCCTGATCACATGGGAGGTCTAACCTTATACTTATCCATCTCCAGCCCCCACCCCAGGGCCTGAGCTCTCCAAGATTCATGCACCATTGCTGAAGAACTCATCTTGCTAGGGGTCTCTGGTGCAAACTGCAGGCCAGACCATCAGTCTTGAACCTCTTCAGGCTATTGGTGTCGCCTGACATCCACACCTGCACCAGTCCTTCCCATCCAGCCTTGCATCCTGTTGGCTTCTGTTGCCCAACTCAAATGAAAGACTGTCAGCTGGTCTCTGCCTTATCTCACGTCCGTGGTATGCTATGCCTGTGGACATCTCATGAAGTCCTACTCACACAGTCAAGACCATAGAGTCTTGACTGAATCTCTGTCACTTCCTCCTTAATTCAACTCCAGGCTTCCTCCCAGTGCCCTTGCAACCCTGTAATAAGACACCGTTCTGCCTTCCTGGCCCCAGGAGATGTTGGAAGGTAGGGGCAACATTTGTTCAAGCCACCATCACATCACTGCCATTTGGAAATACATTTTCTCCATCCTGGTAGGTGCTCCACAACCCACTGTGGAGTGGTCCTGCCAAGCCTGGACCATGGTGATAACCAAGAGTAATAACAAAACAAAACAAAACAAAACAAAACCCATGCAGAGAGTGGTCTGCACAGGACAGAATCTGGCTGGGTGTTATCTAAAACCCAAAAGATCAGGAAGAAAAAGATAATGAATGTCAGCTGTGTCCAAGGGTGCCCCACCAGCCTGGGAAAGCACAGATGTTTAGAAGTTGGAGTTTTGAAGTCATGGAGCCTGAGATGAAACAGAAGTGAAGAAAGGAAATCCAAGACAAGTGTTGTCAAACAGCCTCCAGGTTTGTTTGGAGTTCCACCTACAGAATCCTTCGATGGTGATGGTCTAACGACCCATGATCAAAGCAGACAACTCTCCCACACTCTGTCTGGCAGGCAGGCCAGGAATCTTGAATTTGCACACGAAGGCTTAGACTCGTGGAGTTGCTTTTTAGAGTGGAAGATGGTGCCCAGGGGTGGCTTGTCAAAAGGGAGTCTTCCTACTTGACCAGGGAAGGGAGTTATCCTGGTTCAGAGCTGTGTGACACTACTCCTCCACCCCACCCCGTGCCCAAGTGCTCTTCGACATCCTAGATGGACATTTTCTTAAAATGACACTGTGGAATTGTCAGCCTGAATCAATTTTATCATAAGGAGAAAGGTGTAGGGTTTCAGCCTTGCTTTCAGAGCACCAGCTGGAATTGCTCATTAATCATCTGGGTTGCTTTAAGCAGCAGCTGAGGCCTTTTCCCAATCTTCCCCACCCTCCTTAAAGGGCAAAACTACCAAAGGGGAAGTGTCAAGGGTGCTGAGGCCTGAGAGCCACTATATATTGTCCCAGGGAAGGTAGGGGAAGAGGTGGTCCCCATACCATTCCACCCAGACCTGCCTCTGTGTAACCTGGCATAATGAAAGGTCCAGTGCAGGTGTCTCCTGACATCAACAGGCCTTCCCCTCAAAATTAACTATGAACATAAAAGCCTTCTTAAACAGTTGTCACAAAAGTCAACTTAATGCTAGTTAACATAAGCAAGACAATGGAAACCAAGTGATGAAATAAAGGAGTTCTGCTGGTGGCCATGAGCCTGAGATGATCTCACAGGTGTCACCTCTGGTAATGCTTGTTCAGTTTGGGGACCCTGCTCACTATTCCAAGTAGTGGTTAGTGGACAGTAGTTAATCTAACTATCCTAACTAGAAGCTTCTACCCAAGTGTATGGCTGGGTGTGCAGCCATCTTAGGAAGAGCATTTCTCTATCCAAATGACCTGGGCCACTTCCCAGTTTAAGGTGATTGTCTCTGACATGGAGGTAGTAATTCTTAGGACTCTCGGGTTCTGTCACTGGCTGCGTTTATGACCTAGAAGTGAGGTGAGAAACAGGCTGTCAAGGTCCCAGACACCATACTTAGGGCCTTGTGGGGTTAGTAAATTATTAGAGGAGTTACTTGGCAGAACTGTGGAACCCCTGGTCACTGTTCCCCACCGGGACCACTAGATTTTATCAGCAGCTGAATTACCTGAGGGCTATGTCTCCTTGAGCAGGCATGATGGCGTCATCTGAAATGCATTCCACTGGTAACCAGAATATATTTTGGCTCAATTTAGGAACTTCAGTGCAAATAGTAAGGCTTGGCACATTTGCTTCCTCTTGCCTGGGGAGCCAGGAGTAAGCAGGTTACACTGTACCTGAATGGGGTATCTACTTCTGAGGCGGACAGAGCTCTGAGGCACAAGGATGGGGAGGGGATGGATATGGACTGAAAGTAAGAAAGGAGGCAGAGGTCATATCTGACACCTACCCCCCACACACAGCCGCTGCTGGCATTTCTAACCTGCATCAGAAACAAGACCTAGGGCAGAAGAAACAAAGACTTAGAAAGAGACAAGAAATAGAATCGAACATAAGGGTAAGGTGACAACTCCAATCGGAATAAACACAAGGAAAAGTATGTACAGGTGCACCACAGTCACACTGCTGTGAACCAAAGACAAAGAGAAAATCTTGAAAG